CGAGTTCAGTGGCCGCACGCCCCCCTTGCCCAGTGCCGCGGGGGAGCGGAAGGCACAGCAGCGTCTGAAGCTCAGGTGCTGGTTTTGCTGCTGCGCTGGGCTGAGAGCACGCACCCCGGCAGCCAGCGTGGTCAGGCTGCCGTCGCCCCAGCCCTTGCTCAGAGCCAGGTTTTACGCCTGCGTGATTTTTCCCAAATCGCCTTCATCTTCTTCTTAAGCTAAGGGAGGGGTCAGCATTCTTGAGGGAAGAAACAGACCCTTGTCTTTCACACATCTTTCTCTGACTGTAAAATGCAAACCTGAATGCTGGGTGCTGAATTAGCATTTGCAAATTATTAGAGATTCTGTAAGAGTTGTTCCAGTCTTGTCACCTGAGGCCAAGGCAGTGGATGGGGAATTCTTCTGGCCTTTAAAGTCTCCTCCTCTGTTTTCTTTCCCAGATTCACCATATCAATGCTAACTACTTCCTGGACATTACTTCTATGAAGCCTGAAGATGTTGAAAGTAGCATCTTTAGTTTCTCAACCAATTTTGAAGACCCTTCAACTGCAACTTACCTCCAGTTCCTGAAGGAAGGACTGCAAAGAGCAAAACCATACCTGCAGACCTAAAAGCAAAGGCACCCCAATACCCCACAGAAATGGCCAAAGACTTCAGAGGTCTATTTTGATTACAGCAGTTATTCCTTATCTTCATGCCAGACGTTGATGTTAGGGTGCGGACAGTGCCAGGACTGGGGCTTTGCTCTGGATGTTGGCTTCAGGCGAAGTTTCAAGTGATACCAGTTTACGTAACCTGCCCTTTTGTGTTCAGGCAAATTTTTACAGGAGTGAAAATACTTGAATCCGTAAACATTCTCGGTGCATACGCCTTGCTTTGCCACCCACCCTCGTGTTTTTCCAGCACCTGCTCAGACTCTGTGATGAAACTCGTGTAACGGCTGTACCAGGCATCACCCGGAAGCCCTGATCTCGAGGACTGGACTGTGTGTTGCGTCCCGGAGAACAGCATCGCCGTTACGACCCAACACTCGTGCTGAGCGCCTGTGCCCCGTGGGAAGGCGCAGAGTCCAGCGCGGGCGGGAAGCTCCCTCCTGGCAGCCGCTGTCCTCCACGCCTGCTCGCCAGCGGCAGCTCTGAGCTGCCCTGTGGCTTGGGTGCCGGCTCTTCACGATGGCGTTTATTGACAGCAGTGGCAACCGGTGCATAACGGGACTGTAGCTGGTAGTGTGTCGACATGGAAGCAGGAGGTGCAAACTGGAGGCTTGTGCTCTGGAGTAGCCTCCTCCCAGCACCCTGTGTGACGTGGTGCGAGAGCAGGCCCACTGACTCGGGTTCTGAGGGAGGTGCTGAGGTTGACACGGTGAAATTAGGAACGGAGATCAGGGTGCAGGGGCGCGGTGCAGCTCAGAGGCATCAGGTGGGGATTAACTCGGGGGGATCAGGGGCCAGAGCCCGTGAGCTCCACCAGTGCCGTACATGTGCTCCAGGCTGCAGGACAGGGCAGTGAGCAGTGCCCCCGCCCCGTTCAGCCCAGGGCCGCTCCCCCACCGGCTTTGAGAGCTTTGTTCTCCCAGTGTCTCCTCGGAGTTGGTGAAATGCTCCGTCCGTGTTTGCGTTGAGCTCCCAAGTCGCGCTGAATGGTGAACCGTGATGAAGTTCCCTTCGGGAACGGGAGGTTCAGCATTGTCCTGAGAGGATTAACTGGTTGAGAACTGAGCAGTTTTAAAAGCCAGCAGTACTAGAAAAGTGTTCAGGAGATTTTTCCAAAGAAGTTGCTCAGACAGAACGCCATTGTCCCTTCTCCTGCTCTGTACCAATGCGTGGCTGCAGAGCGAGTGTGATCTGGACAAGGAAAGGTTAAATGGAACGGGTTTTAGAGCATAGTCCTGAGAGTGAGGAGACAAAGCATCTTCCGTAGATGGCTGCAAACAGCCGTGGCCGTTGATGCTTTTTCTGCTCTCTGAAGCACAATTTTGTCGGACCAAATCAAACAGGGGAAAGCCATGTTTTTGGAAGAGGTATTTTCACTCCTGGGCTCCAGGACCTGGCAGGAGCCTGGGAGTGGTGATTGCCCTGTCCCCTCCCTGCCCCAGCCCTCCTGTCTGTATCCGTGGCTGGAGACCGAGCTTAGATGGACCTCTGGGCTGAACCAGTGTAGCTTCACTAATTGCTCTAGTGAGATTAATTACCCCAGGATGTTACTCAGTATCGGCTTTATAACTATGCATCAGCTCTGCACTTTCTCGCACTCCAAGGGGTCTGCAGTAACGACAGGCGTGGATCTGGCAGCGCTTTCAGCTGCAGAAAGTGCCAGAGCCTCCAGGCAGCGTTGGAGACCGAGCTCCTGTCGCAGCTGCGGTCCTGTCCCTTCAGGGGACTTCAGTCCTGTCCCGTAGGGGGCTTTGGCCTGAGCAGGGAGCAGCAGAAGAGACCGAGTGCCTGGCCCCGGCTCCTTGGGAGGGCAGCTGCAGTGTACGTCCGCCCTTTTGGCTTTTCCAGAGCCAAAGGTGTTTTTGCTGCACCTTTCCCGAGCCCCTCGGTCAGGGCCTTCAGATTGGGAAGTGGTGCCTGGCCGTTGGGCATGGGAAGCGCAGCGCAATCCGTTTGTTTTCCCTCCCACAGGTTTCGCAGCAGAAGGGGCTGGGGAGGGAGAGGGGCGGGCAAGCA